ACTTTAATATCAAATTCCAGTCTAAAATGTCTATAGAATATTTGCGAACTTTGAACTATCCCACCAATTGCTATTTCTTTTTGAATTAAATCTTGTCTAAAGGCTTCAATAGCTTGTTCTACTGTTACGTACTGTGGAACTGTATCAGCTTTATCAACATCATTTAATACTGTTGATGTTACTGCTATTGTTGTTGCTATTGTTGCTGTTGTTGTTGTTGCTAATTCCGATTCTTCTAATGAGCTGATTCCCGATGATGATGCTAACACATATTTAAGTAATTGCACTGATAAATTCACCTTAATGGTTTGATTATCTGGGAGATGTATGTAAAAATCGGCGCTCCCATAAGATGATTCATCTAATCTTATATTCGGGTTAGGAGCACACAATAAGTAAGCAATAAAATTTAATAAAATACACAAAAAATTCTCATGCTGATGGTACTGGACTGTCTTATTCAAATTTTATAAATCAATTGATTTGATTTTCTTCTTCGATTTCTTTTATATGCTTTTTTTTGTTAATTTCATTCACTAACTCTACTTCTATATCATGCTTTTTTCTTGTCTTCTCTATTATACTGAATATAAAAAGAATAGTGCTCACACTCTCTCTTTTTACATACCCTCCAGAATCTTCTATATAATTCAAATTCTCATCTCGCACTGCTTCTAACTCCAACCTTAAAGTTTTCATCAATCTTCCTAATTTTGCTTTCTTTGTATTTCCAATATAGGTGTTTTCTACAGATAATATAAAATCTATACAATCATCAAATCGTTTTCTTAATGATGGTCTATTTTCTTTCATATTTGTATTAAGAACTATTGAATCCATTGAATCCAATGAACTTTTATCGGATCTCCGTTCAGTATTTTTCTTATTTTCATCATCTAGTAAATCCTTGATGTTTTTCTCAATAAGCTCCCAATCATCTTCATCTGCAAATGGACAATCATTTGCAAACTTATTTAGTGGTTTAGGTTTATTATCTCCTCCTCCTACGGATCTCAATTCCCCCATTATGGAAATATCACCTCCGTTAATTTCAATTTTCATATGCTGCCAATTTAATAAAGCTATAGATAAGTTGTTTAATATAGATGATGATCCATCATTGAGCTTTTTATAAATGCAAACTCTTTCACATTCTTGCGGTGTCAGAAATATTTCAAAGACATCATGAAAGATTTTACAATAAACAAATTTAATTGTTTTCCATTTACGCCCGCAGATGCAATATTTGTAGCCGTGTCGTATAGTTTCAGCCCAAAACATTCTTGCGAATAGGTCCTATTCAAAGTCTCAATTGGTAATAAAAGATAATTCAAAACAATTGATCTTTTATATAATCAAAAGTTCTAAATCAAAAATTCAATTTCATTGTACCCCTCGCGTTTGTTGTTCGTATCCCTTATTTAAAAGCATGTCTATACAAAAAATTAAGTCCCCTGCGTCATCAACATAATACATATTACTTCATCGCGAAAGAAAAAATTCTTAACTATATTTTTCTTATATGCACTACCCAATACCTCTTATCACCAAATAAAACAAAGAAAAAAACAACAAAAAACATTCGTACGTTAACACCAAACGCGCGCTCATATAAAGAATTTTTTCTATTCTTTCCTTTTACTATACTTTACTTCAAAAAAAAAGTTATTCATTTCTCTAAACACAACACGACGCGCGCACAAAAAAATCTTATTTTCTTATCACAATAAACAAAAACAACACACACAACAATAAACAGTTTTATACTCCTCAACAAATTTATATGAACATTTTTATACTCCTAAAAATTTTATATAAAAATTTTTAGGTCCCTCAATTAAGTTAGAAGCCCCATATATATACTACTATTAACATAGCGTGGTAGGGATTCTTTATTTATTTTAAAATGATTTGCACTAGAATGTGTAATATCTACCTTTTTGTAATAGGGTTGTAATTTAGTTATTCTATTAAGTTTTAGGTAATTAGTAGGGTTTTCCTTTTTCCTTTTAATATTAAATTTATTTATTGAAATTTCTTTTATTTTAATTAATTTATTATGAATGGTCAGGTATTTATCTGGGGTAATTGTTCCGTTAAGGAAATTAATAGGTCTTCTTCCAGTTGACGAGTGAATGGTCTCATTATAAGTTTTTAGACTCTTGTTTATTGGGTTCCGTCTAATGGTGTACGTTGTTCCTTTTCGACAGCATTCAAGATCCGAAGATGTTCATTCAAAGTGTTATGAAATCGTTCGATATCTCCGTTGCTGGTCTTATTATTACAAAATGGGTGTTACAAAATATGGGTGTTACAAAATGAATGTCTATACTTTCATTTTTCATAAAATTTTGGAAATTTAGACTTGTGAGGCCTTTTTCTTGGTCCGTTACGATTTTGGTTGGTTTCCAAAAGGAACCATATATTGCAAAAATCCATTTTTCAGATCAATCCAGTTCCTTGAAGCTATTGGTATAATTTGCGCATGGTTTGTAAATTTATCGATAAATGTTAAATAAGGCTTGCCCTTGCTATGAAACCACACGTTCACATGTACCAATTGTAGTGGCTTATTTGGGGTTTTAGTAACTTTTAACTGTAATTTCAAGGGTTTTCTCTCATATTTTGCTACATTACAGACATGACAATTATTTATTACCTTCTGAATTTCAATTTTAAATTTAGGGTAATGAAATTTTTCTTTTAAATTGAGGTAAACATCATTAATTCCTCTATGATTTGATTTGCAATGCTGCCGCAAAATAATTTCTTGTAGCTCATTTCTATCTTTTATATCTTGCAAAACTTTAGAGCACTTATTTACTTTTAGCAATTTGTTTTTTTAAAAATGCTTTGGGTAAGTGTTTTGGAAAACGTTATAAACATTAATGTCATCAATCATCACACCTATAATACCCTTGCTTGGTATATAATCTTTAAAAATGTTTATGAAAGTCTCTTCATTCAAATTGTTACTTTTAATTATTATTCTTGTCCTACCATACATTTTAGATTGTTTTGTGCTTTTTGAATCCCCCCTTTCAATAATTAGTTGTGTCTTATAGAAATTTAGAGGCAATTCGGATATCGGGATATACTCTGAGCTATCCTCATCAGCTGAGTGAATAGTTGCTCAAGTAGAAAACATTTCTTCAACATCATTTTCATTTGAATTGATTTCCATTCGCGACAAAGCGTCAGCGACATGATTTTCTTTCCCTTGTAAATATTCAATATCAAAATTGAATTCCTCTAATTTAATTTTCCACCTCTGTAATTTGCTATTAGGTTCCCTTAAATTGTGAAGCCATTGTAAAGGTTTATGATCAGTACGAATTAAAAATTTGCGACCGTATAGATATGGGCGGAAGTATTTGGTAGCCCAAACTATAGCAAGTAATTCCTTTGCAATGGTTGAATACTTGATCTCATGCTCATTAAGAGTACGAAATGCAAAACATATGGGACGATTTTCTTGAGAAAGTACTGCTCTAAGAGCAGCATTACTAGCATCAGTAGTTAAAGTAAATTTTTTGGAAAAATCAGGGTACTTTGAAATTGGATCCGTAGTGATCAAAAGTTTTAGTTTATTAAAAGCTTCTTTGTATTCAAATTTATCGATATTTATTTGTTTGCCTTTCTTCAAGCAAACAGTCATAGGTTTGGCAATTTTTGCGAAATCCTTTATAAATTTTCTATAGTAACCCACCAAACCAAGGAAAATTTTATTGGGATTGGGTTTTATTCCCCCTGGTGTCACTATATGACCCAAAAATTCCGTTTCCTGTTTCATAAATTCACATTTATTTAATTGTATTTTCAAAATAGCGTCTTCAAGTCTTTTTAAAATTTTTTGTAAGAAATGAAAGTGTTCCTCTTTGCTTGTACTAAAAATAATTATATCGTCTAGGTAAACATAACATTGTTTACCTATAAAATCTTTTAAAATATAGTTCAAGAGCTTCTGAAAAGTCGCAGAGGCATTTTTGAGACCGAATGGCATTCTTACAAATTCATAGTGTCCGCATTCGTGCTAAATGCGGTCTTTTTTATATCTTCCTTTTCTATTTCTATTTGATGATATCCCTTGGCCAAATCAAGGGTCGTAAAGTGCATAGAACGACCTAATTCATCTAAGATGTCGTCTATGTTAGGTATAGGAAACCTGTCATCTACAGTGACATTATTAAGTTTCCTATAATCAATGACGATATGCCATTTTTGTTTGCCAGAGGAATCCAGCTTTTTGGGGACAACCCATATTGGAGCCGAATATGGCGAATCGCTTTGTCTAATTATACCCCGTTGTAACATGTCCTCGATTTGTTTATTTACCTCTTGGCGATGCACTTCAGGGTAACGGTAAATTTTTGTATAAATAGGAATTTCATTTACTGTACTTATTTTGTGTTTTATTTCGTAAGTGAATGTTAGATCATCACCTTCCCGATAAAAGGCTTTGCCGAATCTTTTCAAAATTTTGAAGAGTTCGTTCCTAGTTTTATGATCAAGATGATCACAATTAACACTATCTTCACCACGAAACACCTCACCATTAAAAATACTTAATTTACTGATAGGTACAGGAACATGATATTCACTTTCTTCATTTACGCTGAAGTAAAGTGGGATTTCATTTCCAGTCCCCAATTTTAAAACTTTATTTTTGAAATCGATTTGGGATTGTAAAGGTAAAAGTATGATGTTTCCTATTAATCCGTCAAATCTGTCATGGAAATCAAATTCTAAGAATTCCATTTTATGTACTGAGTCAAACTAAATGAAACTGTCTATTGTAACTTTCGTATCACAACTAATGATGTCACTTAATGTCTTAATTTTAATTGGGTTAATTTTCTTTTTAAAAATAGGGTTACAAATTTCGGAGTTAATGATGCTCATAGAAGCACCAGTATTTATCATAAATCGTAACGGTCTAAGTTTTGATTGGATTTTTATATAGGGTAAATTTGGTTGGGCTTTGATACCGAGGCAGATATTTAAAAATTTTCCAAACTACTTCGCTGGTTAGCCTCAGCACAAGAACAAGCGTTTGAACAATCTGCATTTTTTATTTCTAAATTATTCGCCCGCTGAATTATAGACGGTGATGAATCTACGTCTATCGGTTGGGACCGGGAATTTTGATAATTTCCGGACTGATTTTTCAGATTACGTTGAGATCTGAACCCAGAATAGTTATTGTCACGATTGTAATTATTACTATTATTATTATTGTTACTGTTATTACGATTAATATTACTACTAAAATTACTACTGTTTGTAGAATTTCTGTTGTTGTTGTTACCGCGGTCATAACGCACGAAATTACTATTATGACCAGCGATATTATAATTATATTTATGTGCGTAGTCATTATTAGCATTTCTATTAGTATTAGTGTTAGATGTATTGTGATATGATTTGTTATTTCTGTAAAAGTTTTTATTTGTGTAAAAATTTCTATTGTTAGAATTGTATGGATTAAAATCTGCATAATCGCCTTCATAGAGGACCTCAATAGCATCTTCTAAAGAGGCTGGGTTGCGACTAAAAATCACTGAACGCATTGGTTCAGGCAATTTTTCCTTAAATATTCGCAACCCAGTTTGAATATTTGCTCGGATAATGGCCTCCGCATTTGGCTCATCTTTTATTTTATTACTATTCTACGTAATATTTTTTTATGTCATTATAAAGATCTACACTTGTTGTGCGAAATTTTACACTTTGCTTCGAAAAGTTGCAAAGCCGTTCTTTCGCCAAAATTTTCTACTAAAATTTTCTTAATTTCAAGCCAGTTTAAAACAAGGTTGTTTATTTCAACGACCGGTCTAGCTCTATCTGTTAGTTTAGCTTTGATTCTGTTTATTAAAATGACCTGACTACTTGTATCATACTTCGCTATTAGCGGTATGATATTTGCTACTAAATCTAAGAATTTATATAAGTCTTCTGACTTACCAGTAAAATCCGGGAGGTCCGCTATATACGTCATCGGGTCCAAAGTTAGTGTTAATTCTGGTGTATTTTTATTTTATTTTATTTATTTTTATTTATTTATTATTTAATTTCGGACAATTCATATAAAATTGTGTATAAGAAATTAAAACTAAAATTAATCTTACAAACTAATTTTTTTTATAAAAATCCAAATTGGTTTTTTATTTTCTAAAATTTTTTATATATCTTCTTAATTTAGTTTTGAATTCATTTACTCCTTTACAATTCCTTATATCATCCGGTAATGTATTAAATATCCTTATTGCACTGCATTTTAGGCCTTTCAACTTCATCGATGTACATGCTTTCGGTACCATGAGATGCCTTCTCTGCCTAGTATTATAATTATGTACCGTATCTCTTGTTGGAATCAATAACGATGTTTTCATTTTTTTGTTTGTTATTTTGAAAACATATTTGCACTTCTCGAAATATATAAGCTGGTTTATATCTAATTCATTTGTTTTTATGTATAGTTCCTTAGTGGCCATTCTTGGATTCAAATTATATAATGTTTTTAAACTTCTGTTCATGACTACACCCATTTGATTAATATGAAATTTAGTACAAATACTCCAGTTGCATATATTGTAACGAATTTGAGATAATATGTGCCCGCTGTATATTAATTTCGCTGCTTTAGCTGGAACACCACCTGCTCTTTTAATTGCCATAGTGATTGGAATAATACTTTTTTTTAACTGCTTAATATGTTTATCTCATTTTAAATTTTCATCTATATAGATGCCCAGATATTTTACATGTTCCGTTCTTTGTATCACATCATTCCCGGTTTTTATAGTAATTTCATGATATTTTTTTTTGGTTTTTTAAATACCACATAATTCGTTTTTTTAGCATTCATGCAAAGGCCATTGATGCTGAGCCAATCCATATAGACCGTGATATCTTTATTTACTATATTTTCTAATTCACTCAAGGTTTTTGCTTTTGCTATGAGGTTTGTGTCGTCAGCATATATTGTGTACTTTGATTCCATGTTACAATTAGAAAGATTCATAACATATAATAAATACAGAAGTGGTCCCAATAGAGATCCTTGTGGTATACCCGTGTTTATACGTAATTCAGCGCTTTTCGTGTTTCTGATTCGCACACTATGCATTCTATTCGATAAGTAACTTCTGAATAAACTATTTGCTGTGCCTCTAATTCCCAAATCTTCAAGAAATTCTAGAAGTCGGCTATGATTAACCACATCAAATGCTTTACTTAAATCGATAAAAACACCCGCAACGTACAGTGGTGTGAATAAATATAGACTCAAACAAATTGTTAAGTAAAAAGTTAAAATATTTTCACCAATTCGTCAAAAACTGAAACATGATTCTAGTTCTAAATAAAAGTTTTTAAAGTGAAATTAAATTTTTTTTTTCATTTATTTTAAAAACAGATGTTCATAATTTGAAAAAACTTAACAAAAAGCTGTGAAAAAATATAAACTCAAAGAACTTTCTTATACTAAAATGAACTATTCTTAACGACTATTTTTCAATATGACGTGTAGCTGCCTTTGTTTTGAATAACCTCAATCAAGCGATTGGCCATACTTCGACTGAGGATTTTTAAAGTCAACCTTGGTATATTTCTCCAGGCTTCAGATATTCGCTGCTTTAATTCGCAAATATTTTCGATTTCAGGCTTTTCTGGGTCGTAAACTTTTTTCACTAGGATGCCCCAAAGGTTCTCAATGGGGTTGAGATCAGGACTTAAAGCCGGCCATGGTAACAATTTAATGCCAAAGTCATTAAACCAATTTATTGTTGTGGAAGCTCTATGAATTGGTGCGTTATCCTGTTGAAATATTACTTTCTCGTCCTCTGTCAAGGTTATGAATGGGAGAAGATAATTTTCCAATAATCCCTGATACTGCACAGAATTCATTTTACTACTAACAAATGCAATCTCCGACTTTAAACGCTTAGAAAATGCCGCCCACACCATAACTGATCCACCTCCATGGCCTCTTCTTGAAAAAACTTTTGGTTCTTTTCTGAGATCGTGCCAATAAAAGTTGCAACCATCAGGGCCATCTAGGTTGAACTTTTTCTCATCGCTGAATATTACATGTTTCCACATGTGATGCTTTTGTATGTACTTTTCAGCGAACTGTAGTCTTGCTACAATATGCTTTTCTTTTAACTTCGGTTTTCGCATGCATTTGCGAAATTTCAGATATTCTGATTTCGCAGCCAATTTCCTAATTAAACTAGAATCACAATCTAGACCAAATTTGGTTACAACTTTGGAAGATGAAGTCCCATTTTTCGACATTTCTCTTAAAACAGCCCTTTTAACGGTGTCACTTAATTTTTGAGGACGCCCTGGACGCTTGTTGGCTTTATAATTTTCTTTACCTTTCAGTAAAAAGTTTTTAACTACTCCCTGGGACCTGTTAATAATTACTGCAATTTCCCGTTGCGTTTTTCCACAGCTTCTTAAATCGAGAATACGTTGTTGCTCTATCTCACTTAACTCTTTTCCTCGTGGCATCTTTTCAGAATTGCTTGTAATTTCTATACATAAAAAAAATATATAAAAATTGATTTATTTTCCTTTTTTGGTTCTATTTTCTTCCATTAATACCTAAAAACACAAATATTTTTCTGCCAAAAGTCTTTAATTACTGGTTGAGTTTATAATTATTCACATCTATATCACATTAACTTTACGTTAATCACAATTAAATTATCACTAAAGAAAGAAAAATTCAATATTTGTACATGAGAATTTTTTGGGGACTCCCCTTTATTCGAAACCGTAACAAATTTTTTGAATTTGAAAAATATAAAAAAAAAAAACGTTAAAAATTATTTTGAGTCTATATTTATTCACAGCACTGTAATATCCTTCATCTAAAGCGTCATATACATGATCTAGTGTTACTGAAACAGCAGAGTCAGTACCACTTCCTTCTATGAAGCCATATTGATTTTTGTCAAAGCCGATTGTTGATTCAACAAAGCTACGGATTTGTTTATTAATAGCCTTTTCATATATCTTACTTATAGAATTTAGTGTAGATATTGGCCTATAATTACCACAGTCCGTTTTTTTTCCACCTTTATGAATGGGTACAATTACAGCCTTTTTCAAGCATTCAGGATAAATTCCGTTAGTGAGGCATAAATTTATCATATCACATAACGGTTTTTTAGTAATATGTATTAATTGCTGAATGTCGCTAACTGTTATTCCATCAGATCCTGGTGCAGCATGCCTATTCAGATTTGAAGTAATCTCAACAATTTCATTTTCGGTTACCGGTACTAAAAATACAGATCTTTGATTTATTGAATTTCGAACTGTATTCGGCATATTATTAGTGCTGATATTATTTAAAATTTTTTCCCCAATTTCATTAAAATATTTATTTAATAAGTTGGCGGTTTCTGTATCTGAATTAGTTGATTCACCATTTGGTTTGAGTAAATTACAAATACTGTCGCTAATTTCATCATCATTATTTTTAATTATATAATTTATTACGTTCCACAGTTTTCGGCTGTCATTTCCAGCTTTTTCTACACTATTGTTGATATGTTTATTTTTAGCCTCGAGAATAAGTTTACTCACTTTCTTTTTCATTTTCAGGTACTTATTCTTTTTTATTGTGTTACTAGGTTCCTTTTTATGTGCTTCATATAAGGAGCGCCTAATCTTTAATTGTTTAATAATTGTATGAGTAATCCACGTGTTACTTCTTGACCTTACAGTTTTTGTTGTTGTACAATTTTCTTTTGCCTTCTGAAGTATATGAATTAATTCATCTACTTCAGTAATATTTATCTTTGCTAGCTCATTAGTGACTATTTCACACATTTTAACATAATCTGTTCTAGTATGTGCGAGTTTGGTGTATGGTTTTATCACATGTTTTGTTAACTCAATACCAACAATAGCAGTTTTATGATCAGATATGTCGTTCTCTTCAATTTTATACGTAATTTTGTGCTCGTCATCAATATTTGATACAATATGATCAATTAATGTGCTAGTAGCCGCTGTTTGCCTTGTACTGTGCATTTTGTTTATAAAATTATACCCAGAGATGTTTATCATGTCCATGTATTTGATTACTAAGTTGTTTTTCTCCAGAAGATTTATATTTACATCCGCAAAGAAAATTTTTCTATTAATTCACTCTCACTGAAACCGTTATTCATATGCACTATCTCTATTTTTGGTTTAATTTCCTTCGGTATTTTAATATCATAATCACCTTGCATTTTTTTTTGTAATTCGGTTTTAATTTTTTCTCTATTTTCTTTTGAATCAGTCTCTATCAATATAATGCCATTCATTTTACTTTCCACATTTTTTATTTTTAAGTCTTTTGGATCTACCTTCGTATTGAGATCTTTTTTTGTTTTTTCACTCTTTTGTTTTTGCTTAGGTTTTACAATTAATGGCAAGTGTTTTTTCATTATCGACACTGAATTTTTATTTTCTTTATTATTTTTCAAGATATCGGCGAATGACACTGAATGACCTACATTGTTTATTTTAGCATTACTTATATTTGTGCACAACTCATCATTTTTTTTTATCGAGTGCACAATCGTTTTATTAAGTTTTTCTGTTTGGTTATTTAGCACTACATTCAATTTTTCACTTTCCACTTTAAAATTTTCGGTCATTTTAACCATTTTTTCAATCTCTTTTTTTTTGTTCATTTTTTATTTCATGTAATCGTTCAATATACCGTTCTTCGATTGTTCTTAAAAGTCCCATTACCTCGTTTTCATTACGTTTTAATGCGTTTTCGAAATCGCACTTGTATTCCTTTAAATATTCATTGTTTTTTTGCACTGCGCAGTCCATTTTTTGCAGTACCATATCAACATTTTGTATATATAATATACATTCATCACACATAAATCTAATTTTATTATTACTTTCAATAATACCGATCTGGTACTCATCGAGACCAGCACACTTCGCTGTAGTGTGGTAGATTTTGTTACAAACTCCGGCACAGCGAATACCGTTCCCGCCAGTTATTCTTCTCTTACAGGTTTCACAATCAGTCATCCTATGATTGCCTGTAACAAACCGCTTTAAACTAACGCCAACTGCGATTTTGTGCATATAATATTACGCAATTTTAATTAAATTAAATTTTTGATTAAATTTTTGATTTAAAATTAAATTTTTGTTCTTTAAAAATTCAACCGTATCGTTTGACGATCAATCATGTAATCAATCATGTATTTGGTCATGGCCGTGCGGTTGGAGCCTGTGTAGTGGGGGTACTGCTGCCACTGCTGTTGTTGGAGTCTTTCTGACGATCAAACTGCGATGGGGCCAATATGCTTTTTTGGTTTTCCATGATACTTATTTTTTTTTTTTTTTTATATTTACTTTTTTTTTGTTTTATTATTTTTAAATTTTTTGTATACAATTTCCACTGATTGAGTAGTTTTTTGTTATTATTTCTAGGTATAACTTTGTCCAATTTATATTTTATTATGAATAATTTTATTAGTTTATTAAAAAATTTCCTTATGTGTTCACTAGTTTAATACTCAAGTTTGTAAGAGTCAATAGTAAGTCAATTATTTGTTGATGGTTTATTATTTTATTATTATTTCAAGAAAGCTCTCTTTTTCACTTTCTCTTTGAGTTCACTTTTTTTTTTTTTCACTAGTAT